CACCTGCCGGCTCGTTTTCGGCGTATCATCCGAGTGCAGTTGAGGAGGGCTCGGCGTCTTGAACTCTTCCAGCAGTTTTTCTTTGTCTGGTTGAATTTCAGGATGTGTTAGAGCCTTATGACGATTTATAGGCCAATTTCCAGTAAATCTCCAGCCGGATAAGATAATCTCCTTCCTCATGCCCGCCTCTCTGGCTTTCGCGTATGCCCGAATAAAATTGACTTTGTCAACCGGCGCAGAATCGGTCAAACTAGCTAGCTTTTGGAGTTCTTTCCGATACGCACCTTTGATGACATTAAAAATTCCATTATCTAACGGCTGCAAACCATGGGAACAATGTGCTGGTAGGTAACAGCAGTAGACGTTGTTCAGAAAGCACGTAGCCATCCACTCGTCCTAACTGCTTGTTAGCGACCCTATAGCGGACGACTCCGCGGCGAAAACACCAAATTGCTTACCTGCGCATGGCTCCCGTGGCCGTCAAGGATAATGAGTCTCGCATCCGATGCATCGCGAGGCTCTGTTTGAGGTAGATAGACATCTTTCAACCACTCGAGAGCTATATGGTTGTCGGTCCAGCCGTTCGGGGATGTGATGTAGTGCCAGTCGGCTATCAATTCGAATTCGTTAAGAAACCACTGCTTCTGTAGCTCTTTTCCTTTAAAGATAATCCCGGGTTTTAAAGCGCGACCAGTTGCGGTGACGGCCTCAATAAACGAGGTCCAGGTGCGCGACTGGACGCCTTTTAATAACGCCTTCTTCTTCGGGTCGGAACTCCCAATTACGAGGCTGTCCAAGCCTTATGGACAACCAATTAGTTATGGCCTATGGAAACCCATAGAGTACTTGTGGAAGACTTACCGAAACCCGCCATTATGCCGCCCTCGTCCACGTTAACCGTGTTCTCCGGCTTGATCCAGCCGTATTCCGTCTCCCGAATATCGAAGTACCAATTGACTGCCTTTGGAGTAAATCCATCAAACCTGGCGGCTTCCTGGCGTTTCCCAAGCGTGGTAGATAGTTGTAGGTGACGCTTGACGAACCTGGTGGTCCAGTGCTTGCCCAGAGGCTTGTTATCGCCTTGTTGTTTGAGGATGGCCTCGACACAGGCACGGAGCTGGCTGTGCGAGAGATCATAGCCCAGAGACTCTTGTCGCAACACCCAACGAATGAGGGTCTCCTCTTGGCTCTTTGAAATACGCTGGTGGGCCTTGATACGTTCATTCCTGCTCGCTTGACCAGAAAGTCGTCCAGAAAGGGTCGACTGAGGTACTCCACGCAGGCTTGCAAACAAATAAATCAAATCCAAATCTATTCAAATCAATTCAAATCTATCCAAATCAAATCAAATCAAATGGGCCATAATGTTATCCAAATCAAATCAAATCGCGATGTCCAGATTTATTTGGATATCTGGCTATTTGGATAAGCCCCACTTCTGTGATCTGGCCCAATCACTGCCAGTCATTACGCCCCTACCCGCGTCGCGTAAGGTTACACGAAATTCTGTTTTCCTACCACCTTGCGACGCGCTGCATACGAAATCAGTTTGTTCTAAGCCTATGTCGGCCTTGCAATGAACACACCCCACTACTCCATAAGTGGCCTGGTCTGAGAATATTGTACAGCGATCGGCAATTCACGATAATTCTCGTGGTTTATATGATATGGTTCAATATGCGAATACTGGCCAGGCGTCAAGAGCTCTTTCCAGTGCTCCTTCTACTGCTTTTAGCCTCCTTGATAGCCCTGACCTCGGTTCGTCAGAGACCAAAGGAGGAGCGGCGGATGACGCATCATTTTCGGTCGACTATATCGGCTATGAAGGCATCGACTGGAATCGCCTTTCGGGGTATTCCATTCGCAAACATCAAAGAAGGCCGCGGACAGGGTGGGTATGGGAACACGGATTCGATATCGAAAAAGACGGCTCCGGTTACCGATTCTGGCTTTGCAAAATGTGTCACCAGAAGAAGGCTACGATCACCCACATGTACGACGCTGCATCTACGAGCCAAGCAAACGGTCATATGGAAGATATCCACCGTATCAATAAAGACGGATCCATGCCACCGCAGAGGAAGAAACAACGCACTCTTTTCGACATGGTTGACCTAGACCCTCATCGGCCAAAGGATCAAGCCTTGATGAACGCATTTATAGCATCATTCGAACCTGCCCGCTTTCAACATTTACTCATACGTTGGGTGGCATGCGATAATATCCCATTTTACAAGCTTGAGAGCCCATACTTTCGCGATCTTATGGCGTACGCAAACAGTGCCATCGTAGATTCGGGAAGTCTTCCCACCCATAGCACGATTCGCGAATGGATTGTTCGGACCTTCAGTCGTCATAAAGGCGTCGTGACGGAATTACTTGGCCGTTCTCTCAGCCGCATTAATATCTCCTTTGATGCGTGGTCGTCTCGCAGGTTTACCTCTCTGCTCGGCCTCACCGTGCACTTTCTTGATGATGACGGGAAGTTCCGTACATTTCTCCTAGGCTTGCCACGGATTGAAGGTCGCCACGGCGGCGAAAACCTTGCCGACCGCGTTAGCGAGATACTACATGAATACGGGATCGAGGAGCGCACTGGGTACTTTGTCACAGATAACGCGGGCAGCAACGACACGTGTCTTGAAGATCTGGGTATTGAATTGGGTTTCAAGAAGCAGCATCGTCGGCTTCGTTGTTGTGGTCACATCATTAATCTCGTCGCTAGATCCATTCTTTTCGGCACGGACGTCGACGCATTTGAAGAGGATTGTCAAGCCGACAAGGAAATCCAAGATGAGGTCCAACTCTGGAGATCAAAGGGTCCTATAGGCAAACTGCACAATATTATTCACTGGGTGCAAAGGTCCGGTCAGCGCATTGAGAAGCTGCACAAGCTCCAGTCTATTGAGAACACCGCCTTAAGCCTCGAGGACAAAACAGCCTACGACGTCATCACCGATAACGCTACTCGCTGGAACTCGTCTGAAGCCATGATGGAGCGGGGCTACCTGCTTCGGAACGCACTCGATTCTCTGGTCCAAGCGGAGGTAACAGAATGGAACCAGTACGTGGCCAGGAGGACACAGAACGGGATAAAACCGATGCCGAAGAAGAGCCGCAAGAAACCTGCGATTGTTGATGATAAGATGACCGCTGAGGACTGGTCAATAATTGCAGAGTATCTGGCAATCCTAAAACCATTAAAGATTGCGACCAAGCGCCTGGAAGGCCGACCTCAAGAAGGCAAATTTGGCGCGATTTGGGAGGTTCTACTAACCATGGAGTGGCTTTTGAAGCATCTGGAAGAGGCTAAGTTACAACATGAACGAGACGAGGAACCGTACCTACGGATTGGCTGCAACCTCGGCTGGATGAAACTGGACCAATACTACACCCTTACCGAGGATAGCCCTGCCTACCTCGCGGCGCTTGTCCTCCATCCCGCATTTCGCTGGTCGACTGTCGAGTCGCAGTGGGCTGACCATCCGGGCTGGTTAATCAGAGGAAAGGCAGCAGTGCAAGAGCTATGGGAGGAGTATCGAAAGCTCTCCGTCGAGCAGGATGCGCTACCGGAGCAGCCGACTATTGCAAGGAAGACAACGGACCTGGATGACTTTATGGCCTCGATCAGGAAGCTCAGTACTCAGCCTGCGCCTTCGCCGTCTGCCATGCGCGATGAGTATGCAGAGTGGGTGGCCACAACCGATCCAGGCGATTGTTTAGTGGATGACCCGATTCAATACTGGCTTCTCCGAAGGCGCCAGTATCCACGTCTGTCGCGGATGGCAATTGATCTCTTTTCAGTCCCGGCCATGTCATCCGAGCCAGAGCGGATATTCAGCCTCGCCGGGCAAATGGTCACGGCTCAGAGAGGGCGTCTCAAAGCGGATCTCATAGGAGCTGCTCAATGTATATCGTCTTGGGAGAAAAGTGGGGTTATCCAGATATCCAAATAAGATCCAAATCAATCCAAATCAAATCAAATCAAATCAAATCGCCAATTTTAGTATCCAAATCAAATCAAATTAGGCCCCCGATTTGATTTGATTTATTTGTTTGCAAGCCTGGTGATAACTCCTGTGTTGAAATTTCAACGCCAACGGCACCGTATTCGTCCTCTTTGATATGCCATAGCCACTTGATAAAGAAGCCCATTTGGGTACGACCCAAATCTTGAAGCCAACGGGGTCGGGCTTGCCTTTGATAGTCGTGATAGAGTCACTTTTGCCCGTATATCGGATTATGCACTCATCGACAGCTAAGTGAGATCCAGGCCGGAATAGCTGCATAGATACGGCTTGTATATGATCAGACCACTCTTCAACGCCTTGGAATACCCTCGGAAGTGGTGCAGTCTCATCGATTTTGGTGTGGTCAAAGGGGCGAAGGTGCCTGTGGATAAGTTGAAATGTATCGTATGAAATGAACTTAACAAATGAGTGCTCAGCGCGTTGAACGCCGGGCTTCGGGCCCTCCCAATAGCTTCGTATCTTCTTTTCCTTATGCACACCCATATAAACAAACACTCCAATCATCATCATCACCTCTGAAGTCGTTGGGCCTTCCCATTTGTGGAGTTTTGAAGTTGGCTTCATTTCGGTCTTCCAGCTGTCAATCCAGCCGTTTTTCTTAAGCCATGTGACCCAGCTTTTGGTATAGACGACCCATTTTTCAATAAGGAATATAGGAAGGAAAATTTGGAATAGCTTTAGAGGCGTTGGAGGTAGTGTGTTGATGTGAAATTTGCGTGGTTCTACTTGGAAGGGCTCGAAGGTCGTGCCTCGGTCCTCTTCGGCCGGAAAAACCGCGGCCCGGGTCGAGTCATTTGGCCAAATGCGATGGCTGTGCCTCATCGAGAAAGCTTTTGTCATCATAGGGATTGATGACCCGGATCTCATCAAGAATTGGAGGGGACTCCATCGTTCTCATCAAAATGAATTCGTGGTGTTTTGGGAGGGAATTGGCACGAAATCTTTCACGGATTAAACTTTCCGTACCCTTCAAGTACTTCCGGGGTTCCCAAGGTCATGTGGGGCGAGGTACGGACTGGAGGGCTTCACGCACTCAGGAGATGAGTTCAACCCTGCGGCTCTGATATAAAGGGTGAAGCCACCCAGTCCGCCCCTTTCTGGCTCCACGCGGATTTGGCCTCTGTGCAACTCCGCCAAGAAACTGCAAATGAAGAGGCGCTGATCTGGGATGCTGCTCTGCCTTTCAGGCGGACTGTGTGTAAGTCGCTGGTGAGTTACGTCCCTCTCGTTCTCCCCAATGACCGAACCTGTATCCCGGATCGAAAAATAAAGATAAATTTTCTTTCCGTGGCCCTGCGTCGGATAATCTGAGAGGGCGTCTTCACACGAGAGCTGGCCGGTGATGTTGCTTATATTCGCCTCGTCTATGGCTTCAGGTATTCCTTGCGATGCTCCGATGCTAACGGAAATGCAGCGATTCTCCCGCAGATGCGTGCGTTCGATGGCATTTGTGAGTAGGTTAATGAGTATCTGGAGCAACATCTGGGTGTCCGCCTTGACGCAGTCAATATCTAAATTCGAGTAGGAATCCTCGACATGAAACTCGATCTGGATTTCGTTCGACATGAACATAGGCTCAAACATTTTCAGGAGTCGCTGGATAGTCTGTATGGGGTCTAGGTCGACTGGTATGACCCTTCGGCGATCCAAACCCAATTTCGGAGTGGCCAAGATCCCTTCGGCGATTTTTTTCTGGTAACTGGCCCAGTGCGTTATTGATTGAGCAGCCTCAGTACAACTTTTGAGTAACAGGTCGTGATTTTTAGAACCCCGAGTCGGATCTGGGATGGACCGGTACTTAGAGATGACACTGGAGATTTTCAACCCGCACTGAAACATCGGATCGAGGGTATTTCGCAACTCAAGGAGGGTGATGCCGATGAATATCTGCTGACATCGCTGGAGATCTGTGAGGCTCGCTTGGCGCTGCTTCTCGATATTCTCAGCATGATTCTGTCGAAGGGGGTTGAACGCGCGTCCAATTCCGCCTGTTGAAGTTAAGCTGGGGATAGCCACGGGCGGAGATGTGACTGTACGATGTCCGCTGATGAACCGGAGGCGTCGTCGGACCGTCCAGCAGTACCATGTGATGCCACAATACCTGTAAGACGACGAGAAAGCGTTTCTCGGCACGCCGTCCTTGACGAAATGGAGCGCCCAAGACTTGAACTGAAGCGACTCGGTGTTGGCGGGGCCGAAGATCCGCCTGACTAGCAAGTGTGAAGACCACAGCGCCGTGTTGGCAAATATGGGCTGGAAGGGGCCGGGTAGGAAGCTGCCGAGATCCATCAGATCTACAACGAACGTCGGCCGTGTATCCTGTTCAAGGAATTCGATGACTTCTAGCTCCAAAGAAGAAAACGAGGTTCCTACTGGAGGGCGTATTGTCCCAGTCGGTTCAGTATCCGAAAGATTGACCTGCATGCTCGACGGGAACGCTGAATTTGGGGTAACATAGTCATTGCGGATAGCTTTCGGTTGTAGGTAGGCAGGCTCGTCATTTGTAAGTCAAGACAACATTCGAACCTATTACATCAGTGTCCATCGCTGGTCCAGACCGTGCGATCGGCGACGCCATGTTGGGAATGACAGCGCTAGCTGGCCAAATGGAGTTAGCTTGGAGTTAGCTTGGAGCCGCCGTCCAGGGCTGACCTATACTCGTAAGTCTGGATTGGGCATTTCTCGGGGCGTTTGGTCTGGTGTATGAGTATGTGCGCTTTGAGGTCCCCGAACGCCTTGCCGCAATTGGGACAAGTGCAGCGTTGTCTTTGCTTGGTCTCGTATTCGCTGCGATACCCGCCTGGGGTGGGGGGTATCATACTATGCCGCTGCAAATGGGCGTCCATGGCCTGTCGGCTGGCTTCTGGGTGAATTGAAGACGGTTCTGTCGGCTCGGACGTGGGGTCAGCCATTGGCTGCCGGCGGAAATTCGAGAACGCGACAAACAGCCGCTGCTTTTGGGATAGAAGCTGCGCCACTGTTTGCGTCGGGATGATGAACTGATGTGCCGGGGGGGATGCCCTGGGAAGTGGCTTAGTTGAAGGAACTGCCGACAGACTAAGCTGTGTTAGACGGGCGCGAGGTAGTAATAAAAGTAGAGGTGTGTAGTGGAAAGAGAGAAAGGTGGATTGCGATCGGCCATTCCGCTCGGTACAAGTGAAGTAGAAGTCGAGAAGAACAAATATCATACAAGGGAACTGAATGGTTCTGGAAGGTAACGCGAGTAGAAGCGGCTTCTAACCTCCGTTTCGGTTTTCTCGGCGGGTGCGTCTCGCAAAGCCCGGGATTCCTGATTACCGTACATTCAAAGGGCTTGATAGGGATCTTGGCGGTGACCTCTGCCGCGGCCGGTATCGGGGCCCCCAGTTTTAAATTATCCAATTTGATGAATACCTGCCAGTTTGTTGATAGTTCGCCTTAAGTTTCAGCAAAGCTGATTGTACTTGGATTGGAACGTGGCATGGTAGCGCCGAAAACACCAATGATAAGCTCTCCCCTTTGTCTTTCCTGCCCCATCGGAAAGAAGGCCCTGTGTCTCAAACCAGCTCGCCATCACGGCCGGGAGTGCCGAAGTGTTTCAGCGCTGCCGTCACCGGGGCTCGGACCCTGCGCATGCAGGCACCATGCCTGCTCATTCGCAGGGCAAATGGTCTCTACCTGGTTACCATGGCCGGGGATGTGTGATAAACCATCGATTAGAAATATGAAGAATCTCAATACCTTCTCGACTTTTTCCCCCTTTCCCATGGTTTCCGTATATACCGGTAGTTTGGTTTGCTACAGTCGATGCCAGAGAAGACCCGAGAGGATGGAGCAACCCACGCGTACTTTATTATGTAATATCCTCCCTATGCATTGGGGGGGGGGGGGGGTCCACATAGGGACACGGGTCCGTACACAAACGGGTCATATAATTAGTCAGCAAAGCCCAGTGTAATTTCCAGCAACACTCACTATCCCCTCAATTGTCGAAAGGCTCCAGCCAGGTCACTCCAGGGATGTCTGCCCCAATTAAAATGCAAGAATGTAAGGTACATTATTTCCTACCTAAATTAGCCCATGATAGATGTCCCCGCAATATTTCGAGTTACAAATCGCGACATCACACTGCTCACACCCCCAAACTGATTGATGCTTCTTCTTCTTCAATTGAGGCCTCTTCTTATTATTGCTGACCGGCGCCGAAGGCTTTCTTGAGGCTCTTGACCTTTGCTGCCCAACCCGGTGGCCCTGACAAGCAACCTAATTAGGTTTTTTTTGCCCTTAGGACAAGTTTATGCTGTGCCATAGACGTAAATTCTTCTCCGGTCTGAAACTTCTGCCTTGACTGACGTTCCTTATGGAACGCTTTAAACAACTCGTTATAAATACGCCGGCGCTAATCCCTTTGGCTCGTGAAGGCCTCGCCCGGTATTGATTGAGAACTCATAGATGACTTTGGAAAGATTTGTATGACGATTTTGGCGAGAATGGTTAATGGTGCGTCTGTAGGTTCCCCTCATGTACCTGTTATGTGAGAGGGATCATGTGGGGCAAGGTACTTTCGGGAGCCTTTCGACAATTGACGGGATAACTTTTCTGCCTGTCTCACCACCGAGAACTACCACTACAACCATCAATGGATTCCAATACAGCAGCTTCTTTCCCTCTTCAGCAGTGGTATAGATCACACGAGGATCTATCCCTTGATCTCCATATCTCCCCAATGCGTGCGGACCTCCGCAATTTCACTTGCCCCACTTATCTCGGTCACCTCAGAAGTACGTGAGAGGTACGAAAAGTTTTAATCCAAAGAAGAAATTAATGTCGTTTTACACCTAAAACACCATCAAATCATTTCGATCTCATCAATGAGCTCCCCTCCGATTCTAGACGAGATACAGGTCATCACTTTCTATGATGGCAAGAGCTTTCTCGATGAACGGCACAGCCGCCGTATTTGGCCAGACAGTTCAACCTGGAGGTCAGTGGCAATGAGGAGGAGAAGGAGAGGAAGCGGCCCAAGATGCGTAGTCGGATCACCTTCGATGTTTGTATCTGTGATGTTGCAATTTGTCAGACCAAATATTGCTGGGACTTCTATCACCACCTAATTTAGCAGAGGAATTTTGTACCCTTTATTTCGTATATTTTAATTGGCCATAACCCCTCGTCGTGACCACAGTGGAGGTCCGCACGCATTGGGGAGGTGAGGCGTATCCTCTGGGGCGGAATAAATTCATTCGAAGTGAACAGGGGTACACGACAATTAGGAATAGCCTTGCCTGAAGGTGTAACCAAGCACCAATCAGAAATTCAAGCTAACTCCCTGTCAAAGTCAAATGCATCCCACGCTAGTCCATTTTCGAAATTCATGTCTACCCCTGGTCAAGAATCAATTCTACCCCCTGTAAAGCGGGGTAAAATAAATCAATTGATGTACAATTGATTTTGGTATGTAGTACTAGGCTCCTAACAGTGGGTCGAGCACGATCTGGGCAAGCCAGGGTTAAGCGAGGCAAAGGCTAAAAGCAGAAACTGACTTTCGTACAAATAACCTGTTCATCTTGACTGGGTGTCTGCCGGGCTTCAAAAGATGTCTTCTGGGGCTGGGGCTTTAATCCTGTTCCATAATATGTTGGCCCAGTTGCCATATCATGTGGTGGCAAATGGGATGCGTTGCAGTGCGGGGTAGCGATAGACCTATCGAAGAAAACGAAACCAAAAAGGCGCGAGATGCGGCTCGGTTAGTCTCAGTCGCAGGCTATTGAGACGACGCTTATCTGCTTGGCCCTGCAAATCCCATTGCCCAGTCCCATCACGACGTGGTTATCGCGGAACTGCGATGCGGGATGACAGCCGGACAATCAGGGACGGACTATTAGTTCAGCCGCAGGACCCTAAGCACCAAAAATGAAAAATGGCTAGCTGAATAGCCGAAAACAAGGCCAACCCTTGTCAAGCTAATGGTGCTAGTTGTTTTGCATCAGACCGGTCTGCGCCGTGCCGATCGCCAACGGCCTTCTAAATTACCCTCGGCCATTCATCGGATCATCAAGATCCTTGCCGCCACATTGCAGGCGGTGGTTGAACGCGAGCGTGTTTCTTCTTAGGCACGATCACGTAGACAAGTCAGGCAGGTCTTCTCCTATGGCTGTCAAGGCAGGCCCAACCAACGAATTACGGTCATGCTGCCAGAATGGTGGACGAATCTAACATACAGCCTACCCGGGGACTTCAGAGGCAGGGCTCCCGCTTGATGTCATCACTGCCGGCCGGACGTTGGCCTCGGGAAATTGTGGGGTTGGATCAGGGAATGCGCGACAATAATGGTAGACTGGAAGGTGAGATTAGGCTGACAGCAGCAGGTCCGTAATTAATAAAGTAATCGCGGACGCGCTGTTGCGATCAGAGCCCCACTGAGAATGATCTACTTGGTAATCCACAATGCCAAGGTCCATAAAGGCTGCAAGGACGGAAAAAGGGCATTTGCTCAGACCAAACGCTCGGGCCTCTTTCGAACATACAACATTCGGGAACAAGTGCTGCAACCTTACAGCTAGCCACCTCAGCTCAGGCAGCAATGGGCGGAGGAAACTTCGGCTACGTTGGTTGAGAAAATGGCGCAACCACACCACCATACACAAAGTAACTCGTCTCTCGTCGGTATTCAGAATGAGGCGAGACAGGAAACACCAATACCTGCAATGCAGTCGGAGGCTTTTTTTCTTTGAGGGCGAATCCATAATACACGTTCCTTCGACAGGTCTTAATTGTCTTCGCGGAGCGGGCCGATCTGCCTAACAACTTGGTGCTAACATGGTTTGCGGGGTAAAGCGTGTCACCTCGCAATTGAGGAAACATACGACAGCCAATGATTGCCCATTCGGTTCTCCTCACTGCCATGCCGCAATTGTCCTCTTGCACCACTAAGTGACTCGCCGAGCCGCTTTTGGGTTGCTCGCCTGCACTTGTCAGTCTATCACAAGTGCCACTGAACGCTCGATGGCCCTGTGCTTCCATCACTGCATGGTCAGCCGCCCGCCATCAAGCCATGTGTAGTCAGCCTGTGCTGAGGGGCTTTTATAGCTGCAGCCGGTCAAGCAAGCCATTTTGGGGATTTTGATAGGGTTTCCACCAAAACCGAAAACGGCCATAGACCAAGCCTGTTTTCTCTTTCCTCGGAGAGGGAATAAATCCTGTTATCTATCACTTCAGTGGCCTCAACGCCTGCTATACGGCAGAGCCACGCTTTCGGAATGGGCTAATTGGCACTGGAGCAATGCTACGAATGTAAGCAAGATGGTTTGAACTAAGGCCATTTTTAGCTTCTGTCTTTACTAGAGAAACAGTAGGCATCTAGGCCTGGTTGAATTTGATTATCTTATTATATATAAGGTCGTCATGCAGTATGTTCTCTTCCATTTTAAAACTGAGCCGATCAAGCCGCTTCCTACAAATTTGCAGCGACAGGGGATTAGTACACTAAACCATACCATGTAAGCGAGGGATAGCGCACAGGCCGAGTAATTTTTGTATTCGGACCCAGAACCTGAGATCAAAAGAATGGTGCACGGGCCAGAAAAAATGGTATTGGGTGCCATTACCAGTGGTAATTGGTACAGTAGGGTGCTCGTGGAACCATTGTGTACAATATAGAGAGCGATGGGTGCTCAATGGAAAGTGATCAGGAGGGAAAAATAGGCGCGTACTTAGACGCGTTGGAGTCACTGAGTCGGGGGTAGTAGTAGTAGTATTTATTACGCCCGGGAGAACGGACCTCATAGGGCCCTGAGTCGGGGGGTTGGGGTCAGTGTTGAGGTCCGTTGTTTGACAGATCGATGGCTATAACCCCCCCTCAACTGTAAGTCCTAATACAACCACTTCACCACAATCTCTGCGTCACTCTTTATCTCCCAACTTTGGAGTTACATGCTGTGAAGCGTGATGATATTAGGTTGACGTCAATATGCATTGCAGGAGGCGCTAGATTGAATGCCTCCCGGTTATAAGGATACTAGCGGTTCGTTGTCCGAACGTGTCAGAAGACCGCCGTCCCCGCACAAACAGAACAAGCAAGAACACTGCTGTCACGTTGTGTACCTTACATAATGGGGCGTGCGATCGTTATAGCAGTGATACTCCAGTCGTACCCAGGTATAAAGATGTATATGGGACCCAGAGCAGGGAAGAAAGTCAACCAAGAACATACACATATCCAATGAGACACATGAGAGAATCAGGGCTCGTGACAGATGTTATTGATTGTCGACTTGATTCTTTGATTGGTCTGTCAGGGAGGGGTTGGTTCAGTTCCCCCTTCTTTTCTGGATACAAGAATAATATCGTGATAAAGGAAAGTGGGGCCCTTTCCCAGCCGCCAATCTAACATGAACAAACCCCACTTCAGGGCTGTGCTCGACCAATCGTAGATCGTTATTTGATGACATAAGGATAAGCGCGCACACGACATCGCAGGGCCCACGGTTTGTTACTCAAAGACAACCGGGGCTAGGCTCAGCCATAACGCGACATCGCAAATTTACTATACTAAACACAAACAATCATCTCTTCATCCTTCCATTATCTCTCATTCTTTTTCTTCGCCCTTTCATCGCGCGACTCGTTGTTTGCCTCTGGAAACCCCTCCTTCTCTCCACTCCCGACACGGGCATACCCAGCCGCATCAAAACGCTACAATGAGCAATCGAAAGCGATCGCGCTCCGTCGGGAAGGAGAATCGCGCAGAGTGTCCTTTTACAATTTCTTACGCGCCTGACCCATCGCGCGCAGATCAGGAACGTCATAAGAACAATAAGCGGAAGCGCGACGGTCAAGATGACGATAAACAAGTTCAGATTCAAATCTCTCCCTTCTCTCCCACAGGCAGCTTCAAAACCCACGACACTATGGACCTGTATTATACAGTCGAACCTGGAAAGCGATGGCAAGATATGACACGCTACAACAGCTTCGTCCGTAAGTATCCGATGAATCCCGGCATCTTCCAAACTGTGAGGGGCTTATGGCTAATCCTTGGCAGTTAACAGCATCAAGTACTACAGCGAGGGCTTCGTCTATGTCGCCAACGAGTCAACCGTCGAGCACCAAAAGGCCACAAATGATGGCAAAGGTGGTTACAGAAGGTCTAATGATGAGTGGGTTGCGCGCATCCTCGAGATTCGAGCTTCCGATGAGCACCATGTTTATGCACGCGTTTACTGGATGTACTGGCCCGACGAACTGCCTCCTGGTACCATCGACCGCAAGAAGACAGTTCAAGGCCGCCAACCGTATCATGGTACTAACGAACTGATCGCCTCCAACCACAGTACGTCCTAGAATGCTTAGCATTATCGTCCTGCAACGCAACTAACCGATTACTGCAGTGGATATCATCAACGTCGTCAGTGTAACAGCACCCGCAATCGTCAGCCAATGGATTGAGTCAGATGACGAAGAAATCCAAGACTCGCTTTATTGGCGCCAAGCATACGACTGCCGCAAACCACAACTTTCGGTATGTTGCGCGATAGGTCCCCTTATCTTCGCGTTCACTAAATATATGTACAGTCCGTTAGCATCATATGCAAATGTGAAACCCCCGCGAACCCCGATAAGACGCTCATAGGATGCACGAGCTCGGAGTGTGGGCAATGGATGCATCACGAATGTTTGACTCATGATGTTCTCATGCAAGTTTATGAACGACTAGGCACCGACAAGCCTCATCGAGCCGAGGCTGCGATTTTGAACGAGGAAAAGGCCAAAGAAGCTACCCGTCCTCTATCACCAACCGATGCCGAGGAGAAAGAGACCCAGCCCACGATCGATGTCCGCTCTGGAGAGACTCAAGATAATGTACACGTAGAGGTTGTTCGAGAAACACCTCTAGAGACCAAAAACTCAACGCCTAGACCAACGCCATCGAGATCTATCACCGCCGCACCAGCCAAGGGATCGGCCAAGCAGGGCCGCAAGAAGAAGACTGGGGATTATAAGCCATACGCAGGACTCTTTGAGGCTAACCTCAAGATGCAAGAAGGGCCTACAGCGTGGGAGATTCGTGACTTACGCGAAAACGTAACGGGTGGCGAGAAATCCTGGACGGAGAAGGCCTACTGTCTGATATGCGGCACTGTTATCGAATGACTACTCAAGTAAGGGACCCCATAATTACACTGGATCTGTTCAGGTGAGCAGACCCATCGAGCTTTCGAAGGTGAAATTTGAGATTGCGTAGGCTAGTTGTTTGGCTCCCTATGTGGCTTGTGGGAAACTCACACCTGCAATATCACCAGCTCGACCTAGTTGCCTTCTCGATACCATCCAGGACCACCTAACGCATAACTCCACCTAATGCATAACAAAAATTTCGTTCCTGTCATACAAAATCCAAATTTTCATGTCCACAAAAACAGGCCCGATTCTCAATTAATAAATGAGGCTTTGGAGAAAGTTTCTAGAAAATTGCTTAACTTTTACTGTCTGTGGTTTTTTGACCTCCCGACCGCTCCGTGTGCACTGGCAGCGCTTTGCTTCGACCATAAAGTCATCACTTTCATCCTCTGACCTGTCGCCCACTTCAATTACCGACTCAACCTCCTCATCCACAACCATCTCCATTACTACCTCTTTTGAGTTAGGAAAAGCTTCTCCAGCCACTAGATTCGCCGTCAGAGCTATGAATCATCTATTTGGGATTGGTACCGCCTTTCTTTTCTTCCCTCGCCGCATCTGGGCCATCTGCTCCTCGAGGCCAGTAATCCGCACATTCTGAACGGCCACCTTCATCTCTAAAGCTTCCAACCCCTTTGCGATCTTACTGTACTTCCGCCTGGTCGGACGGCTTCGGTGCTTGGCCATTTCCCTTACTTGCAGACTCGTTTTCGGAGTATCATCTGAGTGCAGTGGAGGAGGACTCGGCGCCTTGAACTCTTCCAACAGGTTTTCTTTGTCCGGCTAAATTTCCGGATGTGTTAGAGCTTTGTAACGATTTATTGGCCAATTTCCAGCAAACCTCCAGCCTGATAAGTTAATATCTTTCCTCATGCCCACCTCCCTGGCTTTCGCGTATGCCCGGATAAAGTTAACTTTGTCAACCGGCGCGGAATCGGTCAAACTAGCCAGCATTTGGAGTTCTTTCCAATACGCACCTTTGATGACATTAAAAATTCCATTATCTAACGGCTGCAAACCATGGGAACAATGTGCTGGTAAGTAACAGCAGTAGACGTTGTTCAGAAAGCACGTAGCCATCCACTCGTCCTGACTGCTTGTTAGCGACCCTATAACGGGTGACTCGGCAGCGAAAATACTAAAAGGCTCACCTGCGCATGGCTCCCGTGACCGTCGAGGATAATAAGTCTCGCATCCGATGCATCACGAGGCTCCGTTTGAGGTAGATAAATGTCTTTCAAGTGGCGGAGGGGCTCGAACTGACATCTGCGGTGAACAGCCTACCCTCGACCAGCCAAGGCACTAGATCATGTGATGCTGACAGCAAATAGCCAGGATCGATAATTAGGACTTTCTTGACGATCTAACGCGACCTCTGTTCATAGATGGCTAGGTTGACATTTCCCAAAATGTTTAGACAAACAAGGGTTTCTGTGTCATACATGGCGATAGAATACGGATATGGTTGACTGCATCAAAAGCTTTACCGAAGGCATCTACGCCACATCCTTACGTCTATATAATAAACAACCGAGATAAAATACTCTCAAAACATTAGGGGCTTTCTTTTTAGAAACCCACAGAGACTTTTATGCTGTATCTGGCGTTTAGCGGAAACGAATAGGACTTAAGAAGCTCCTGAAAGCAGTCCTTGCCTGTTGCACTAGCTTAGCTCTGCTGGAGCTCAATGTTTAGGCGCTGCGCTTAGATCATTGCCAAGTACGGATACAGATTGGTTTCCGTGCCGGAGCCAGGTGCCTCCCAGACCAACGGCGTGGGGGAATGTGACTAATAATCTTATTTTATCCTTGTCTAGAAGGAAGGGTTTCAGCTTTTCAGTTGAGGCTTCGGGCACGGACGCATCACGTCTTCACCACCAAGCCCGGTCCCGACATCAGCCCACCATAACTAAAAT